ATGTTAACATGTAATATGCACTGCTCTGACCTTTTTGTTTGTTTTTCATAACGGTACTAGGGATTGAATGCGGGGCTTCACACATGCTAGGGAAGTGCTCTGCCACTGAGCCACATCTACAGCCCTTAATTACTATTTTTTTGAGGTAGGATCTTGCTAAGTTACACAGGCTGGCCTTGAATTTGCAGTCCTCTGGCTTGACTTCCCAAAGAACTGAGATCAGAAGTCTGGCTAGCTCTAACCATTGCATTGGCTGACAGAATGCACTAAAGGCAGGGTCTCAGTGCGGTTGGGCTTGGAAAGTCAGTAGGTGGATCGACTATGCCCTATTTCATTTTAAAACTCTTAGGTGTCTAAGCCAATGTGGCTCTGACGTTTGGCAGAACACACCGATGGATGCCTTTGTTTAGTATTCGGTGGTATGATGACTCTGATCTTATCCACCTTGATTGACACGGGGACTCACCTGGCCAACTGACCCCCTTCCCACAATAACCTCACTGTAGATGAAAAGTTTCACCACCACAATGCCAAGCAATGTGGATCTAACGCTAGGGGATCAGCCCTTCTGTTTGCTCTATAGAATGGAGCTAGTGCTATCACATGCTCTGGCCTCCCATACAGTCTTGATGTGAGGCACTTGAAATATACCTGAAGATGTTCTTGGCATTGTAAAACAGCTGCAGTGAGAAAACATCATGTATGTTTCAGCGGCAGAGCAATATGGCCTCAAATTAGCATCTATTAACTTTATGACTTCCAGAACATTACTTAATCTAGTTCTAAGTCTCTTCCTATCTAAAGTGGTCATAACTTCCACCACAAAAGATGTGGTGAGGACTATAAATGTTAGCACTGTGTGTAAAGGATCTGACATAGAGTGGACTGTAATCAGTGGTCGTCAGGAACTTCAGATTCAAGAACTTGCTTGAGAAATGGACTTCCAAAGATGCTTTCTCCATCACCAAAGCTGTTAAAGGGGCAAAATGAGAGGGTGAATTTGTTATTTTAATTTAATTTGTGTGCGGTGTGCATGTGTGCAGATGCACTCTTCTGTGCACATACTTGCACGGGCAGAGGAGGATGTCTGTGTGTGCCTATGCACGCTTCTGTGCACACACTTGCACAGGCAGAGGAGGATGTGCGTATGTGCAGATACATGTTTCTGTGCACACACTTGCACAGCCAGAGGAGGGTGCATGTGTGCAGATGCATGCTTCTGTGTACACACTTGCATGGGCAGAGGCGGGTGCATGTGTGTGCTGACGCATGCTCTGTGCACACACTCACACTTCCATGGGCAGAGGAGAGTGTTGGCTCTGGAGCTTTCTACTTTCTACTTTTCTACAGAACCTGGAGCTTTCTACTTTCTTGACCAACAAGCTCCAGAGATCTTCCTACCTCTGCTTCCACCCCCTATACTATCCCCCACCCCCGAAGCAGGTGTACTTGGCTGCACCCAGCTTTGTAAGCAGGTGTTGGGAATCCAAGCTCAGGACTTCATGCTTGCTCAGACAGCACTCTGATCCACTGAGCCATCACTCCAACCCCAAGAGGGTGATTTTAAACCTGATTAATGTGGTAAGTGTCTATTCAGTTCAAGAGACTGATATTTGAAGTCTGTTACTTAAGTATCTTTGGAAGAAAAAGTACCTAAACTTTTAACAAGGTTTGACTATTTCTTGACATGTTTGTGAGTACCAGTCACTTGAAGATACTGAGGATTTGCTGAGATAATTCAATCTTATTCATGTGTTCCCATCTGGGATGTCAGACAGATATGTTGATGGTATCCATGAGAGCCTGGCATAGATATGCTGTCCAAGTGAGTCGACACTGCAGGCCATGGGAACAGCAGAATCAGTGGTACCCAGGGTCATGGAATTGATAAAAGAAGATTTCTCTAAGGGCCGTGGAAATTGATGAGACCCCCCCATTATTCGAAAGCAACAGAAACTCTTTGCTAAAGACAAGAGAGGTAGCTGCCGGGCTGTTACTGCTTTACTGACAGCAGCTAAGCATTGGGGACATAGAGGGACTATTGTCTATTTATTAGAGGAGGAGGAGGAGGAAGAGGAGGAGGAGGAGGAGGAGGAAGAAGAAGAGGAGGAGGAGGAGGAGGAAAAAGGAGGAGGAGAGGAGGAGGAAGAAGAAAAAAGGGAAGGAGAAGGAGGAGGAGGAGAAGAAGGAGGAGGAGGAGGAAGAGAAGAAGGAGGAGGAAGAGGAGAAGGAGGAGGAGGAGGTGAAGAAGAGGAGGAAGAGGAGAGGAGGAGGAAGTGAAGAAGAGGAGGAGGAGAGGAGGAGGAGGAAGAGGAGGAGGAGGAAGAGAAGAAAGAGGAGAAGGAAGAGGAGGAGGTGAAGAGGAGGAGGAGGAGGAGGAGGAGGAGGAGGAGCCGCCTCATCCTCTATCTTCCCAGCTTCTCACTGAAGCTTTTCTTTTGGAAATGTCTCTTTTTAAGCTAAGTCTTTGAGGAGACTTGCTACCTTCCTCCTTCTTTCCTTCTTTTCTCCCTCCTTCCTATTTTCTTTTCTGTGGTGCTGGGATTGGATCTACAGTCTCACACATTCTAGGTGAGTTCTCTACCACTGAGCGGTATCCCAAGCCCTGAAGTTTTCATGGAAAAAAGAGCCCCATCCTCACTCTAGAGTTCTCAGAGCTCTGGGTCGATATTCGTGCAGCTGCTATTCAGAGTGCCCCAGTATGATTTTGGAGATGCCCTCAGGCAGTGTCATGTGACCTTTTCCACACGGATCTTTTTGTGGGATCAGAGGTCATATGCTTAATGCCACATGACAAGGAGAAAAGAGATCTATCTCCCAGACATGGCATTCCAGGGAAAAGCTATTTGGGAAAAGGTTCGAGAAGAGAGAGGATGTGAGTATCAGGGCTGTGGGAGAGAGAGGAAGAGGCTCAGAGTGACAGGATGGTGGCAAGACCGAGCAAAGGGGATCGGCCATCCCAGGAAGAATGAGCAAAGCTAATTTTTTTTAAAAACACTATAATGAAACCCAGTACTGTGTATGCTAATTTAAATTTTTAAAAAACAAGATCAGCTCTTCTTAAAAAGGAGGGACTCTAGATAGGCTGATAGACCCCAGTAGATGAATTTGCAGTGAAGGAAGGATGTCTGGGGACACTAACTTGATACCATAGGCCTTAATACAAATGACAGAATGTATGAATTCCAGTGTGGGGAGGTTATGGGAGGGGTGCCAGTGGGAAAGGGGTATAAAAATGATTAAGATCGATTGAGATGCTCTGTGTGAAATACACAGAAATTCAATAAGAAATTTACAAAAAAATATTTTTAAGATATCTCAGGAATATTTCTTGACATTCATGACTTAGCCAAGCTATGTTCACAACTGGGGTAGCAGAGCGCCTTCTGGGTACGAAGAAAGCAGTTCAGAGGACTCACATGCCAGTTCTTTGTAACAGATCTGAGATGGCTCTTCTGAATCCAGCCTCTGCTCTGGGCTCACTTCTAGGGTTTGGCTTGAGTGGACTCATTTTCCCCCTCTGTGTCAAGGCTACAGGACAGCCTTCGCCTCCAGCCACCCTGTACTGGAAGTCTTTGGGGGAATGTGTGTAGAAAATGTAAGCAGGACAAAGAGAGCTTCATGAACCAGCAAAAAAGAGAGGTTGAAAGACGTGTCGTAGAATATAAGACCATGTGGAAAGCGCCGTCGCAAGGGGTCAACAAACTGAATTTCAGTGCCAACTGTACCTCCTGCTAGCTGAGGACATTATTAAGTCAGTAAGTTTATTTCCCAGAGGTCTACTACACATATTATAAATCCCTGCCAGATTTTTGAGAGTCAAATGAGATAATGGAGAATACTGGAAACTTCAAATCTACATGCCTAGAGTGGTTGTCACTATCTGTGACTGTCTGTGGGTGACTGTTTAAGTTCAAGTTAATTAAAGTGAAATATAATTTGAAGTTCATTTCTTTAGTCATACTGGCTACAACCAAGTGCTCAGTCACACATGTGGCTAAAAGTACAAGTACATACAACATGAGCCTTGTCAGAGAAGGTTCAAATGAACAAGTCTTCCAAAAGGTTACCTAGGGTATGACATTACGAACATCAAGGATGGCTCATTGTAGGGCTGACAGATGTCGTCATAGTTAAGGGTCTTTGCAAAGGAGTAGACTAACAAGTTAGTTGGACTAAATAAAGGATTTATTTGACTAATTTAGGAAAAACAAATGGATCCCAAAGGCAAGAATATAACTAAGCTTCATCAGATTATCAGAGCTAAGAAAGCCACCTTTCCCTTCCTACCGACTCTTTTTTCCCCTGTGGCAACTGGAGCTTTGTCTGTCTCTGTGTCAACAGCCACTACTGCAGCTGTCCCTTCCCCTTTCTCCTCCTCTTCTTCCTCTTCTTCCTTTCCTCCTCTCCCTCTTCCTTCCCTTCTTTCTCCTCCACTGTGCCCTCCTCTTGTTTCTATCCTTTCCTCACTCTGCTTCTTCCCTCTTGGCTCACAGACCAGCTTTCTCACCTGAACTACATATGGGCCATCCAGGCCCCATCCAGGTCATTTTCATCACTTTTCACAGATCATGCTCACTGAGGGCTGGCTGGCCCCTGGTTCTTTTTAGCTAGCTTGGTGTGATAGCCATCTGGCTCCCATCATTTCTATTTGGGAAGACAGTGCTTTGTGCTTACTCGCTAGGCTCTAAAAAGGATGTACAATAGGATTGGATGGATCCCTTAGCACCATGGAGAAGCTCCTGAGCTTCCAAACCTGGAGAAGGACCAGCAAAGGTTTAAGAGGGGCCAGGAAGAAAGTGGGTGTAGTGCCTCTCCTTGCTTAGTCATTTGTATGGCTCACAGCACCAGGGCAATGGCTTAACTTCTCCATCCATGTACGTAGGCCTATGGGGACTAGGGACAGTCAGTAACACAAGGTGGAAAGCAAGTCTAAACCTTTGTTATTTCTTAAATGCAAACTGAGCACTCACAAGTCCCCTTTTCTCTTCTGTCTTTAGAAAGGAACATGAGGCTTCCTTGGAGATCTTTCAAGAGGAACATGGAAGGGGGATTTTAAAATAGAGTGAAACTGTGGGCTGCAAGACTGGGGCCTGAGGGCTGGCACTGGAAAACCCTGTTGGGCTGTGATCTCTCACTGAAGAGTTCCACGTGCCTTTTTACTTCTTGCAAAAGAAAGGAAGACAAAGAGAAGACCATGTCCATAGCCCTGAAGCAGGTGTTCAATAAGGATAAGACCTTTCGGCCCAAGAGGAAATTTGAACCTGGCACACAGCGGTTTGAGCTGCACAAGCGTGCTCAGGCCTCTCTCAACTCGGGGGTGGACCTGAAGGCAGCCGTACAGTTACCCAGCGGGGAGGACCAGAATGACTGGGTGGCTGTGCATGTGGTAGACTTCTTCAATCGCATCAACCTCATCTATGGCACCATCTGTGAGTTCTGCACTGAGCGGACCTGCCCTGTGATGTCCGGGGGCCCCAAATATGAGTATCGGTGGCAGGATGACCTCAAGTACAAGAAACCCACTGCACTGCCAGCTCCCCAGTACATGAACCTGCTTATGGATTGGATTGAAGTCCAGATCAACAATGAGGACATATTTCCAACGTGTGTGGGTGAGTGCATGACCAGCTTCACGATTTGACTGGATTTTTTTGTTGTTGTTCCACCCCTCCCCCTACGCTCAGGAAGTTTGCAGAAAGAGAGCCTTAGATTGCACCTGAGTATTTCAGCACCCATGTCCGTGGCTCCCTGACTTTCATCAGTTGTATCTGAGCTTTCTCTCTAAGCATCTCATTGAAATGTTGGGGGAAGGTCATCCATGGTCTATGCACAGACTTATGGATTCCAGTAGTACACGTCCTACCACATGCTGGCGAACATTGCGAAAAGGTTAGGTTTACTTTTGTTGGTTCTCTTAGGGCTGGATGTCAAATTCACCTGGTTATCCCTGTAAAGTTTTTACTTTTTGGCCAGTTGAGATGTAAGGTTGCATTAATTCTGATGTAATTACTGTTGATATTACTCTTTCAAGATTAAAAACTTTATAGTATGGGAATCCATGAGTTGTTTGGGGATCAAGCACACAGGGGTTCACATCCTGTGGAAATAAAGATCCTGGCATATGCCTCTCCTAAACATGGGTTATCAGTTGTAGGCTGTACTGTTAACTTTTACTGCTAACTTGGCTGCTGGATAGATTGCAACACTTGAAATGTAAATGCTTTACCTTGCTTTGTGCTGTCAGCCATAAACTGCAAGAGGCCAGATCCAATCTCTTAGATCTTTACACTGCTGGTCGCTGGATCTCTCACATACTCCCTGGCTGGATTTGGAATTCTGTGCTTTATGTCTGAAGCTCAGTAGGGATGAGAGAGCTCCTTTTTCCAATGCCCAACACATTGTCTGGAATCTTTGTGGGCATCCAGACATTTCCAGGATGATCAAATAAATACTGTGCAATTGGAGTAGCTGGGGTACAAAATACATATGTGAAGCACAGTGTTGAAATCACTTGTAGATAGAGAGGTGTCCCCACGTTGAGAAGGAACATATGGAAGTAATTAAGTTTATACCAGTGAAAGAGTCCATAAATTGATCGGTGCAGTATGGAGCATCTTGAAATATTCAGTACACAAACTAGGTTTCCAGGGTCCTTAGTTTGACCAGTCCTCTCATGCTCCTCTCACAAAATGGAGGTGGGGCATGCAGTTTTGCTCAGGAGAAAAAAGTTTCTCCGCCCCCCCCCCAGGGGTTCAGCACCTCTTGAAGGGGGGAGTCATTCCTTCATTCATATCATTTTCACTTTTATTAACTATTAGAGGCTACTTGTAGAGCTGGGGGCAATTTTCTTTTCCAGAACTCTTACAAGCAATTGCCAATTCCCTGTGCAGAGCATTCGATACAACAAAGATGTGTACATGTGGGCATTGTCCTGGCATCAGCTCCGGATGCTGTGAACTTTGTGCGTCCCCATTCTATGGCAGCTGTTGTTGCCACACTGAGTTATTGACTAGAAATCTCAGCACAGTGCCTTCAAGTTACCTGAGGTGAGGCGGAGGCAGTTCCTGGCCACCTGCTTGGGAAATAGGGCATCCTAGGTGGTTTCAGACTTTGTTCTGAGGAAATAGTGGATGCCTCCATGTTCCTGAGAGAAAAAGACTTAGCTTTCTTCTCCAGACTTTTCCGCCATCATTCTGCATACTAACTGGAGCCTCTGTTTCTTCGATCCGCAGCCCTGATATTCTGCGGGTTCTTAATGGGAGTCCTCCTGTGGAAAATAAGTTTGGAAAATTCTGTCAGAAGTTGATTTTTTTTTTTCTTTTACCACAGGATTCTTCATATGAATTTCCAAGAAGAGAATTTTTTTTTTCTCTTTTTGAGACAGGGTCTCCCCGTAACCCCAGCTGGCCTGGAACTCACTAAGTAGACCAGGCTGGCCTTGAACCCACAGAGATCTGCCTGCCTCTGCCTCCCCAGTGCTGGGATTAAAGGTGTGCACCACCATGCCTGGCCCCAGCTGGCCTGGAACTCACTAAGTAGACCAGGCTGGCCTTGAACCCACAGAGATCTGCCTGCCTCTGCCTCCCCAGTGCTGGGATTAAAGGTGTGCACCACCATGCCTGGCTTAAGAAGAGAATATTTTAAAGCGGTTGTTTTTACATTTATTTGTGTGCCTGTACTTATGTGTGCGGGCACACATGCCACCATGCATGTATAGGGGTCAGAGACAACTTGAAGGAGTGAGGTCTCTCCTTCACATCATGTGGGTCCCAGGGGTGGAACTCAGCGCATCAGGCTTGTGGGCAAGGGCTTTTACCCATCGAGCCATCTCACTAGCCCCAGAAGAGAATATTTTAGTGTGTGGCGTTTCCTAGCTTGATCTGGAGCTTTCTATTTTTCTTTTTTTAAACAGAATACCATTAGCATTTTTAGGAAATGTTAACTTATATAGATTAGAGTTGCCAAGCTTTTGTGTCAAAATTACTTGGGTCTTATCTTCAAAATGCAAATTCCTTGATTTTATCCTTTTTCAACTCGATTAGAGTCTTAGATGAGGCCTGGGACTGTAGCTCAGTGGCAGATCACCTGCCTCTCATGGCCTAGGCCATGGGTTTGGTCTGAAAACCTGCACTTAACAACAAATAAAACAAAAAAATTAGAGTTTCTACATTATACCTTTATTCTTTAGAACTTACTCTTTCTTAGCTGAAATTTTGTATCCTTTGAACAGCATTTCTCACCAGCCCCTGGTGACCCCATCCTACTCTACTGTTGTGCATTCTATAGTACGGTTATGTATGCTACAATACACATGTGCATCCTGCAATACAGATGTGCATTCTACAATACTGTTATGCATTTAGATCCTTTAGATTCTACATATGGCTTTCATCTTTGTGTGCTCAACTTAGTTCATGCATGGTCCATACATTTCATGCATGTTATTACAAATGAGAGGATTGTGTATGTAGAGACAAGTTTCCCTGTGTAGCCCAGAATAGCCTGGAACTTACTAAATAGCCCAGGTTGGCCTGGAACTCATGGCAGTCCTGCCCTCAGCCTCCCAAGTGGTGGGACTATGCCACCACACCCAGCTAGAGTTTCCTTTTCCTTTTTCTTTTTTACTTTTTTTGGGGGGGGGGGGAGAGGCAGGGGGAGACAAAGCCTCACCATGCAGGCCCGTCTGGCCTTGTCATGTACACAAGGCTGACTTTAAATTTACAAATATCTGCCTGCCTCTGCCTCCCTAGAGCTAGGATCAAAGGCATGGGCCACCATGCTTGGTGATTTCCTTATTTATTTATTTATTTTTTATATACTTTATTTTATTTTATTTTTTTGGTCTTTTTGAGACAGGGTCTCCCTGTAGCCCCAGCTGTCCTGGATTCACTATGGAGACCAGGCTGTCCTTGAACTCACAGAGATCTGCCTGCCTCTGCCTCCAGAGTGCTGGGATTTAAAGGCATGCACCAATACTCCCAGCTGATTTCCTTATTTTTAAAGGCTGAAAAATATTCTGTTGTATGTAGATGCCACATTTTCTTTATCCCAGCATCCACTGAATATTTACTGATTTATGTATAGAACACATTTTTCTTGTGTTTTCATATACCCACTGTTGATTTGCGTGTTCTATTGAGAAATATCTCTTCAGAGGTTTTGTCCGTTTTTTTTTTAACTGCTGCATTGTTTGAATTCCTCGAGACCCTTCATTCATTATAACCACCCAAAATGCTTTTGGCTTCCCAGAAGCTGTCTGCTTCTCCGCGTGCAAATACCCACTCTCTCCTTTTGTCCTCACCCGCTACCCTAGTGATTTGATGTATCCTTTGAGGTCCAGCTCAGATACCACATCTGCTGTAAGGGTTTCTACCATTATGATATAACCTCCCTAAAGCTACACACTATGTCCTATTTGAATACCCCAGGAATAATTCAGCTCTGCGGTCTTGTGATGTTGGTGGTTGGGTAACTAGAAAAGTACTTGCAGGATTCTAGTATTCAAAGCAGACTTGTCGCCATTTCTGGATTTACGCAGCACCTGTTTCCACAGAGCTTCTTTTTCTTTCCTTTGTATATGTGTGCGTGTGTGTTTGATTGCATGGAGACGTATGCACATGTGTGTGCATGTATATACATGCTTGTGAGGGTCAAAGAACAACTTAGATTATCTTTCCTTAGGTACTCTTTATCTGTTTGTTTGTTTCGGTTTTTTGAGACAGAGTCTCCCTGTAGCCCCAGCTGGCCTGGAACTCACTACATAGACCAGGCTGGCCTCAATCTCACAGAGATCCGCTTGCCTCTGCCTCCTGAGTGCTGGGATTAAAGGCGTGAGCCACCATGCCTGGCTGTCTACCAAGGAGGCGAGGCTGGCTGCCACCAAGCCCCAGGGATCCACTCATCTCTGCCTTCCCAGCACTGACATTTCAAGTATGTTCCACCACACCAGGCTTTTTGACTCGAGCTCTGGGAAATCAAAATCACGATCCCGTGCTCGCAAGGCAAGCCCTTTACTGATAGCTACCTCCCTTTCTGGCTTCATTTTCTCTAGCTTTTCCAAGGTGACATGATAGGAGTCAGTGAAAAGTGCCACTGTCCGCCATCATGAGGGCTTCATCTGTGCCCTGCTCACCTCTGTGGTTTGCCTTCTGATGTTATGGTTGCTTTCTTTTAGAAGATCCTGTTTTAGGTGCACTCTCTCCACTCTGTTCCATTTTCTCCTTTCCTCCCTCTGATTCCAGCCTACTTTCCTCCTTTTGATCTTTGTGCTGTCATGAGTCATCATCACAGAAATGATCAAGATGTCTGTCAGAATAAAATAAAAGAAGAGCTCTAGGCAAACAGCATGTCCTGGGAAGACAAGAAAAAGGGAGATCTGCTTAGAATTACAGTTTTGAATCCTGGACATATTTCAGTGTTCCTGCCTGGGAACTGAGAAGGATTCAGACTTCACTTCCTCCCCACTGTGATCCAGTGGGGAGGAACCGGAAAGTACTGACAGATGTGAAGGCCTCACCCCTAGTTAGGTATTAAAGGCTATAAACAGCTGTGATCTCCACCACCGAAGCATTGGGGAAAGAAAGCCTTTCATCTGTTGCTAGATTCAGATTTA